TATATATATATATATATATATATATATCTATATAGGGAGAGAGAGAGAGAGAGAGAGATAAATGGCTAGATAATTCGATACATTGGAAACTCCAAACCCGAGATCACCTCAGAATCCAAATTAACCGAATAACGTGGATATAACAAGTGTTGACTTTGTTACATGTTAACTTACAGCTAGCTGTGGTGGAGTAGTGTTAGATGTCAGCTGTGGTGATACGGGTACCATAAACAGTCCCAGCTTCCCTGACTTCACAGGACCCCGAACACAGTGCAGTTGGCTGATCAAGGTACGTGCGAATATCTTAGCAGAGTTACTGATATTAACTTTACTCATCGGATCTGAAATTGGCCGAGCTGCTAACTTCTCCTTAACAATATAACTCGTTATTTCTAATACGAGTACAGTGACAAGGTAACCTCGTGAAATATATCACATCGTTGGCATTAGCTATTTAAGTTGAATTGACTCTGCTGGAAATTGGCTTCAGGCTCCCCCTGGCGGACGTGTTGCTGCCAATGTGACATCCCTCGTCACGCACACTCCTGACCTCCACGATGCCTGCAGAGACTACGTGGAACTGAAATATGAGAACAATTTGGCCTTGGCCGGAGCGAGGTACCCTTAGCGGCGAGCACCTCGTATTAAAATAGACGAGTAGTTCAGTAGATGACCGGAAAATTTGTAATTCAGGCTGAGGTGATAAGGGAACATATAAATGCAATGCAAATAAGAGCTCCGACTCCGAGGCTTCGACACAAACACGCGCTGTTTCACAGTAGCCAACCATTCCTCGAATTGCGTCGTAATAATAAAGACGAAGTCGAGGGGATTATTCAACAAGATTCACCGAGCCTGAGGCGAATAATTGTTTTAGTATCATTGCCCGAGTACTTTACATCTTTGGTACTTTTGGGGACAGCATTTTCTTTAAATTTGTCAATTTCGGCTTCCGTAACATTTACAAATCTAGCTGCCATTTTTGGCGCCACTACAAAGTACAATGTAAATCCTAGAGGTGATTCTCGAAAAATAATCACCTACGTCTCGACCAATCAGCGCGCAGGATTTCCTATAATCACTCGGGCGATGATACTAATGTTGTATATCTAGAGATTAACGCTAATAACTCCGACAAAAACGTTCGCGTGATGAATCTTTGCAGATACTGCGGCTCGCAATCGTTACCACCACGTGAAGTGATCACATCAGAAAAGGAGGAACTGATGGTGCTTCTGAGAATGCACACCGTATCATCGCTCGGAAAGTTCAGTCTGACCTACTCCGGTAACTAAAAACATACCATTTCGCTACGCAAATAATCGAATCAAACCGGATTCGTGATTATGCGTACGGAATATGCGTGCGTTATTATTCACCTTCAATACTACTTCCAATATTTAATACCTAGCGTTCGCGTCCGTTGTGTACAAACCTGTAACTACAGAGACCGGTAGACACACAGTGTTACTTGCCTTCGTGTAGTGAGTTGCCCATCAGTAGGCGGTACCACCATGCCTATGGAGACGACGCCAGCGCCAACGACGCCCTTGACGACGCCCTTGATAACAACTTCCTCCATCTCGCCGACGGACGCACAGGGCTATTCAGAGTGGACGGCGTGGTCCTCGTGCTGCGGTCGGTGCGGGCTCGAGTACCGCGGAAGAGACTGCGTAGAGCCAGCGCTGGGATGCACGTGAGTGTGGTGAATGCAATCGATAGCTCATATATAGACAGACAGACGGATGGACGGGCCGACGGACCGACGGACAGATATATAGCTAGATAGATAGATAGACAGACAGACAGACAGACAGACAGACAGACAGACAGACAGACAGACAGACAGATAGATAGATAGATAGATAGATAGATAGATAGATAGATAGATAGATATATAGACAGACAGACAGACAGACAGACAGACAGACAGACAGACAGACAGATAGATAGATAGATAGATAGATAGATAGATAGATAGATAGATAGATAGATAGATAGAT